GATAAGCGCATGTCGTTGGCTTTTTGACGCGATCGACTCGGGTTCGATCTCGCCTTTTGCCGAACTTTTTTTTTTTCTCCATAAATAAAAATGAAGGAAATAATCAAAAAGTTGAAAATAAAGTATCGGGTAGGGTTAGGGTAGGTGTAGGGAGGGCTTATTTGTTTTGCACTTCTCGACCACCGTAGTTTATGCTACAAAAATGGAAAAACGATGTGCTTGTGGTACTTGTAACACTGATTCCAGGTATCCTGAGAGGATGGGCAATAGATTTTATTTTATTACACTTTCTAAACCCACACAAAACAAAATGTAAAATGTCCCTAAGCATTCAACCCCAATCCCAATGAAGACAAAAACGTTAATTTTCTGGTTGTCATACACTCAATAAGTTACAATTTGAGTCCATGCTATTACAAACCTAAATAGTGAACTGTTCTCACACTTCATGTAGTGTAACGTTAGGTCAAAATCACATAAACGAAGATCTTCAGTGCCTCCATATTAAAGGGTTAGTTCACCCAAAAATGAAAATTCTGTCATTCATTTCTCACCCTCGTGTTGTTCCAAAGCTGTAAGACCTTCGTTCATCTTCGGAACACAATTTAAGATATTTTTGATGAAATCTGAGGGCTCTCTACATTTCGTATTTCAGAAGGCAGGCCTTCATTTGATACAGGAACTATTCGAGCCGTTCATGCCAGACTGGGGAGAGAGGTGTTGTAATTAGGGGTCGACCGATTATCGGCGCCGATATTAAGCATTTTTATGATTATCGGTATCGGTCATTTTCAAAACCGATTCGCCGATAAAATAACTTAATTTTGAAACGCGCTATTTGGCTCTGATGCAGCCTGTCAGAACACACCCCTCTGTGTCCTAAAGCAATCTCCGCCCACCGTTCATCTGATTTGTTGGGAGTCACGAGTCCGACCAATCAATGCTGAATTCACTCTCACTCCAAAAGCGCTTGCTAACTGGAGCTGCTTCAGTGATCACGCATCAGTTGTCTCTCAAAGGTAAGGCAGCAGCAGACGTTGCTTAAGTTGCAATAGATCCCAATCCACTAACGTTGCACTGAAGTTGCAAAACACCTCAATATTATCTATGATTTCC